TTTTTTTTTTTGCTTTTTATCAATCATTGTACTTCATTATCTGGTAGAAAAAATTCATCACCACCTGTTTGTATTTGTAATATTTTCATGTTTCGATATCGATCAAAATAACCTACATATCATAAATTTATACATATTAAAAGATAAATATAATTAATAATAATTTACTATATGGATCGATAATAGCTGCCATCTTATTTAAATTTGGATTATCAACATCTTGAGTAATATTTAAATCATAATAATCATTAAATGCAAATGTCCAACCAGCTAAAGACTATAGAATGAATTCAACATAATGTATTACCTTTATCAACTATTCAAATACACTTACACGATAATGATGATGCATATTCTATAATTAAAACAAAAAAAAGATGATTTTATTCTATCTATTTTGAGACATATTTCTTCACCATTCGTTTTACTTAATCCATAAAGAAAATAGTTCATATATGGATCATTTTAGGCAAAACGGGTCACACTGCTCTTTTATTTGACTTTTATTCTTTCAGCTTACTATTAATTAATTAAAAAGTAATTAACGAATACCTCTCTAACCATATGAGAAAAAAATCTGAAATATTCAGGACGGACTGTACGACAGGAATCATATCACTAACGCTAGTTTTTTTTACTGATAACTCCTTTGAACAAAAGTCTCTAGCGCTGATTTTTTCAGAGTATCTAGGTTAACTTAACATATAAAAATTAGCTGCAGGAAGTTACTGACACACATGTCTTTGATCATACATCAATAACGTCTGTCGAGACCTGTGATGAGTTGTTTCTAACGTGTCTGTAAGCGTCTGATGATTCTGTCTGTAGCAAATCTGAAGTTTCGGAATTTCGCCAATGTATTTTCGGACCTTGGCTATGGATGAGTATCCTATTGGCGAAATTCCGATTGTTTGCAAGTTTTTACACATCATACACTTCAACAATTATTTTTAAATTGTGTTTCACAAGGAAAAAAACATATTGATATAATTCGACTGTTTAAATAGATTATTTACTTTTTGAAGATTGAGTATATCCATAACAATTGGTACTGCTCCAATAACACGTTCATTATCAACTGCTGCAGTTGTCCAAGCTGAATGTTTTATCAATCAAAAACAAAAAATGGCAAAAATAAAATAAATAAATAAATAAAAACAATTTACTTGTCCATCCACGCTATTATTGAGAAAAATAGATCATGATAAATATAAGATAAATAATTAAAAATCTATTTACTTTTGAAGCACCAGCAATAACAAATGTTTTTGGTACATGAACACCTAATTTATCTGCAAATTGTTGTACAGCATCCATAGCACGAACTGATGCCTAAAACATTATATAAAATATTTCAACTAAAAAAAAAATATACATTTATACTTTAGTCATTGGCATACGAAGAAGTATATTAGGATTATCTGGATTTTCCATAAAAGCTTTCCATGTCCATGCAATAAGACCATCTTCACTACGACTTCTATTTGATGGATCAGCCTATGAAATATAAAATCAGTTTGATTTTATCGAAAATCAAATTAACAACAAAAAAAAAAAACAAAAAGAAAATTACTATAAAACGAAATGATTCATTAGGTATATCTGCTAAATAAACGCCTAAACTTCCAGCACTAATAGCAAACATCGATGTTAATGAAAGTAAATTTTCTTCTGGTCTAGGTATTCTAAAATAAAAATTAAAAATTTCTTTTTTTTTTCCCAATAAATATGAATAATACTTACGAATCACTATTATGACCACCATCAATAAGCATATAAGCACTATTTGGTCGTGTCAATTTAAGTGGAACTGAAATACATAAATAATGCCACCAAATTGGATGATCCGTGACTGTTTCTATTTAAAATATAGTTAAATAAGAATATTTATTAATGCGAAAATAAATGATTTACCATCGAACCATTTTTGTGATGTAAAATTTAAAATATATAAATTATAATCGGGTTGTTGATAAGTTCGAATTACAGTCCAACCAAAATGTGGATCATCTGCATGAACATAATCATCCAACGGAGTTGATTCACTTTTATCAATAAACAATAAACCAATGATAATGATACTTAAAAAACCAACTAGAGATCTCATATGTTGCATCCTTGTAAAAAAAGCACTGATATACCTCTAACAAAAAAAAGGCATGTAAAAATCTTTTTTTTACTTTCGTTTTATAAAGGACATTTTTTCAATGTTTTTTTTTTTCGTCTACTTTTGTTGACATTATTTTGATAACGTTTCTTACACAATATCCAAAGGTTAACGGGACAGATGAAGTTGTACTCAATTATTAATATATATATATATATATTATAGACAAAAACTAAGAATAAATCTATTTGAATTGTATGTATGTTAAGTTTTCTTTCTTGGAAATCTCTTATCGTAAGATAGTTTTAATCAATAATAGAGGTTCAATGAATATGATAATTCATTTTGTTTCAGACATTTTACAAACAAATATAAATTTTCTTTCAGCAGCAATACTAATCATAACCAATCTGTTGAATCTCTTTTTAGGCTATTCATTATTGATTTGTGTAAATAATCTTTGACATATAATGTACGATTCAAGTTTCAGTGCTCATAACCATTGTTTCCATAGAATCGAATTTTACGAAATTTATTCATGTCTACCTACTGGAAATCATCTAGAAATGATCCATAGTACAGCTATCATATCCAGCTTTGAAACATAATTGTCATCAATTTTAAGCTTATATATATTCAAACATGTAATTGAATAATATGATCAAATCATTAGAATATTTTAAAAATGCTTATCAGCATAGCCATTTTTGAAGTTAAAAAGTGGAACTCACATTGTGTTCTTTAGCATCATTATACAAATATAAAATGTGTAAAGTAAAAAATTTCTAACTGACTATAGTTGTCTTCCAACGATAATCGGTCGCCTGGGAAACGATCTGTCTTTTTTTTACTTGCACTCTATTTTTTGTTTGTCTTGTTGTTCTTCGTCGGTTTTTGTATTCTATTTTCCTTAATTTAACATTAATTATTATTCTAACCATTGATTTAACTGCTCTTGTACATATCCTATTATATATCTTAATAAACTCATAAACATTGATATTAATATATAACTTGATCAGTTCAAGCTTTCATGTTAATCATATGACAACTATAGCAAATTGATGTATGGCTACCAATCATCCTTGGCACTGGAGATGATATCGGTTCGACTCGATTTATATTTTGAAAAACTTTGAATCAATTCCATCTCTGCTTGACATATTGAATATAATTTTTTACCTGCACAATTTCGAACATTCACAAACATATTCCCTTTGCTCAAATATCGAGGAGAGTTTTAAAATTTTCTAGATTAGTCGAAGTATATTTGTCAATGCCGTTTAACGCCCTTTTCATCGTTAATGAATTCTGAGAAAAAATTCTGACGCCTGTTGTCCTCGACGGCTCTGGAGACTTACCTAATAATTGTTGGCTTTTCTCCTCCCGTTGCTACACTCTAAAAAGATTCTTCACACGGATACAAACTCGAAACCAGAGATGGACAGCTCCGCTTCATCCTGAAAAATTTCTTTGCCGACTCCGGTCTCAGTGAAAAAGATCTATGGAGCGAAGAAGGCTTTGTGCTTGTCGTACGGAACTTTTTTAGGCTTGATACGATACCGAAACAAAATTTTGAGTTTGTATTCACACGAAGAACCTTTTCAAATTCCGTAACAGAAATTTTTCTTTTTAGAATGCATGAGGAAGGGTAAGAGAAGTCTTAGGACCTCGAGTGAATACTCACACTCACTATATTTTTTTTACTTAGGAAAACATAACGTGAGTTCCACAAAAAATAAGTTTTCGAGTTATATGAGCTTTCTTAGTAATAAAATATGTAATATTATTTTCCCGCTTTTAATAATTTGTCATCATTTAAACAATCATTGTCATTCTAAGATTAGTACAGGACAAAATGGATCTTTTTATTTAACATTAATCGATATCTTTAAGATTTTCGTACAAATTGATTTCCTCGAAAATTTTAAATAAATAATCTCTTGATTAAACAAAAGATAAAATCGTAGTTTTCGATGGAAACAATTAAATAAAAATTATTCTATAAGACATATGAATCATCAAAAATGTCAATCCGTATAAAAGAAAATATTATATAAAACTTACTTAATATAATAATAAATAATTTTAATAAAGTTTATTTTTTATTTTTCCCAAAAAAAAGATACAAGAAACAGACATACACTGATATTCACCGCAGTTCTGTTTTTTATTCTCGTGATTTTAGAAATTTGACAAGCAAACAACATTGAGAAAATTGAAGAACAAAAAAAAAAAAAAAGAAAGAAATCAATCCATATATAGTTGTCAAAAATCCAGAAGAAGTGGAAATAAAAGCAGAAAACACATTGCGTGTAGATGAATGAATAAAGCACAAAATTAGATAATTCATCACCGGTCTATATTAATAGCAAAATTCACTAAGATTCATTTGGTTCATCTTTAATAATAGCTGATGTAGTTTTTATTCCAAAGTCATATTCATTTGTAGTTTGTTCATTATTATTGTTGTTCAATGCATGTCTTGTTATTAACGGATTCATAGCTGTTTCCATAGCTTTTAGAAATTTTGCAGCTGATTCTGGATCAGTTGGTAAAGAAAGTGATGATTGACTTTGTTGTTGTTGTTGTTGTGGTTGAAGTATAGGTGAAAGCCAAGTAGCTTGTGATGCTAAATAATATGACCAAGCTAATAAAAATCGATAGTCAGGAGTTGTAGGTACTCGTGAATTGTTTGTCGGCGAAGTAGACGATGGACATTTTGTTGGTTGAAAAGTTGGTAATGGAGCCGAAGGAGGAGGAGGAGGAGGAGGAGGCGGAGGAGGTGAACGTTCACGTTGAATAGGACATTCTATTGAAGTATCCATTTTATGGTGTTGATTATGAACTGATTTTCCATTACGTGTTGGAACTTTAACACGACGAGTATCAACTAATTTAAATTGATTTTTTTCTTCTTCTTTCTTAGCTCGATTAATATAATATTTAGTAACATCAGCTTTATTTTGAATAAAATTACGTGCCATACCAGCATGTTTATATTTAATATGATACGTAGCAGCATAACGTGTAAAAATTTCTTCACCACAATAACCACATCTAAAATAAATATGAACAATATTATAAAAAAGAAAAACCTGTTTTCTTACATTGTCTTTTGAAAGGGTAATCTCATCAGTTAAGTATTATTTTGAATGAAGTTAGTGTTTTATTCAGTATGGCGACTGAGAAACTGATGCTTCTCTGAAGATCGGATTGATGGTTATATTGAAACATGCACAATATGTCTGTACTCTCAAAAAACAGACGTTCATTCTTCTGGAAGAAAATATCTGGATAAAACATTGAATGAAGTTTATGAAAATAGATGAGCACTCGTTCTCATATCCAATCTTTCATAGACAACGCAAGATCAATTTTTTTGAGGGGAAACAATAAAGTTTTGAATCGGTCTATTTTGTCTTCCCTCCTTCAATAGTGAACATTCCTACAGTAAAACCTGTTGCCATTTGAATTTAATTTTTCTCAAAGATATGATATATGAAAACTTGATTATTAAATCATCTGACAATGCATTATGAGCTTCAAATTAGTCCATTATCTTCCGTTCACTGACTA